CAACAACAATATTGCATTGGTTGTGATGAAAAATACAACAAATACTATATAATCATGGGAAATTTATTAAAATACATCAAATAAATGAACTTTTAAAATGTTTGCCGATTCTTCTTGATTTAATTTCAAAAAAACATATGATCGTGAATTTGAATAGTAGATAAATGTCAATATGTTAAATATTATACCTCGTTTTGGTAAATTTTCCTATTATCATTTATCATGGACAAGCTTAAAATGTTCATCGATAACAAGTGTATTAAATCTAAAAGACATTTACTTTAGAAATACTATTATTTACTTTAAGTTTAAATAATTGGAATATTCAATGAAAACAATACGTTATTAAATGATCGAATATTACTAAACGATAAAGAGTATCTACTATAATAATGGGAAATTTATTAAAATACACCAAAAAAATGAATTGTTAAAATATTTGCCTATTCTTTTTTATTTGATTTCAAAACAACATATGACCGTGAGTTTGAATAGTAGATAAATGTCAATATGTTAAATATTATACGTCGTTTTGGTAAATTTCCCTATTATCAGTATCATGGACAAGCTTAAAATGTTCATAGATAACAAGTGTATTAAATCTAAAAGACAGTTACTTTAGATATACTATTATTTACTTTAAGTTTAAATAATTAGTATATTTAATGAAAACAATACATTATTGAATGATCGAATATCGCTAAGCGATAAAGAGTATCTACTATATAATAATGGGAAATTTATTAAAATACACCAAATAAATAAGCTTTTAAAATGTTTGCCTATTCTTCTTGATTTGATTTCAAAAAAACATATGACCGTAAGTTTGAATGGTAGATAAATGTCAATATGTTAAATATTATACGCCGTTTTGGTAAATTTCCCTATTATCATTTATCATAGACAAGCTTAAAATATTCATAGATAACAAGTGTATTAAATCTAAAAGACATTTACTTTAGAAAATACTATAAATTATTTTGAAAATTTAAAAATATTATTAAATTAAGATAAACGTTTATATAAGGGTGTGGCCATAAACAATCAAATTAACGAGCATCTAAAAACTCACTAGAAGATGTTGTTTCAATGCTGAAAATTTTTAATGTGATCATCTCGACCTCGTGATATATGGACAAGAGAATAAATAGATTTCAAGTTTTAGAAATAGTTCATCTAGTGATGTATTAACTAGATCTTCAATTTTCAAGTTTTTCAAGTGTTCATAGGTATGCTCAATCTATACTATTTTTTAATCTTTAAATTTTATAATTAGAAATGAAAATAATTTTTTGGTCATCACAAAGACTTTTGATATCGAAACAACATATTTTGGCACTACTTGAAGGTACACCTTAACTTTGATTGGTTAGTTCCTCAACCCTATACAAACCACACCCTATTTTGAGATATTATTAAGACTGTATTTCCCCTATTATATAGAAGCTCTATACTTCCCTCCATCCAGCCGCCCAATTTAAATCAAATAAGCCATTGACCATTTGATCTAGATCCAACGTCTCAGAGTATTTTTTTTATTTTTTATTTTTACAAATTATATGAATATAAAATTTGGTACGTGCTATCATCGTTGTGGGGCACACCTATAAAAAATATAAAATTAATATTTCTACTAAAATAAAATACCCAAAATACCCCTAACAATTTCAAGGGTATTTTGGTTATTTAACTTTATCATAAATAAATTTTTTGCAATTATGAATTTAAGAACGGAGTCGACACCCAAACATTGGTGCCAAATTATTTTGTAGAAAAAAATTAAAATAATGCATGACATTGTAATTGGTTCCATCTTAGCCGTTCATTCACATTTGACGGCTAGATAAACCGAAGTAAATAACTTCTATACTTTAGATAAAATATAGAAAGCTTGCCCTATTAAGACATGGTTGGAAGCAATGAGAAAAATATGGGGACTTATGACCTCATTCTTTTTTTTTTTTGATAATTCAGTGGGCAACACAAGCCCTTTCCCATTTTCTCAAATAGTTTAAGAGTTAGTTTTTTTAAGGTGTTAGTGGGGTGGAGTCGATGTAAATAGAAACCACAACGTGGTGACTAGGGTGTGGGGTGCTACCACCACGAGCCCAATCCCTTTCCCTAAAGGTATGACCCTTATCACAGGAAAATGACATATCGGGATTCATGTAGCCAAACACACTGGTAATTAAGAACTTTCAAACTCTTAGTAATAAAACTTTTGCTTATTATTATTATTTTTGGTAATTAATTTCTACTTACTTTAACACAAGAAATAAAATTGCTTAATTTCCTTACTTGCAGTCTGACATTCCCCTTAAGCTATCGCACTTGAATTACGCTCACATGCAAAAAAGAATATACTTTTACTGTTTCCATGCAAAATGTTCACACCTCCAATTTCACACGCATGTGAAAATCACGGGGGACCACCAACTTTTTTCTTCGAATAAAAACAAAAGACAATTGGCATGGTTCATGTGTCACCACCACCCAAAAAATGGAAAAAAACGTGTCATTCGATTTTGTTATGCTTTTATCATATCACGTGGACGTGTGATGGGAAACCTAATATCATCTAACGGCCACAATATAGTTTTGTTTTTCTATTTTTATTTTAAAATTATATTAATATAAAATTTAGGATACATATGCATTATTTATGTAACATGTTAAATAAAAGTAATAAAAAAGTATTTCGAACAAAAATAATGATTAGAATACCCCTCAACAGAAAGAAAAACGGTTATGTAGCCATTGGATATGGTCTTGTTGAATCTGGACCGTTGGAAGGGTGCATATCTACCATGTAGACGGGATATTTTTTCTTTTGTTAGTTCCAAACCATAACACCACTAACTTTTTGCATGCATCGTGCTAGACCAACCACCTGATAGGATTGGATAGACCGGCACTTGGTGTTGTAGTTGGTCTTGTCTCAAGCGAATCTAGTTCAGTCAAAACTATGTTTGGCCGAGTGTAGTGGCCAGTTTTCACTTATCAAATAGGTTCAACAAAGTTGGGCATGATGTTTCTTGTAATATAGCAATACTTTTTAAAATGATTATTCTCTCCTTTTTTATTTTTTTGAAATTCATTTCATTTGTTTCAATTGGTGGTTAAACACATTTTGACTAGACTAGACCCTATATGAGTTCGATGGCTGGTTCAATCCTAATAACATTGATTTGCACTGCTTTACGAAACATACATTCATAATCACCTGCTTTACAAAACATACATTCCTTATCACCGCCCATCAAATTAAAATCCAATGAAATTTGAAATGAAATGATAGGAAAATATCCTTGGAATTTGAGATGCAAATGCCCCAAAAAATTATTAAATCTCTTCCAACATGACGCATTTCACATGTGCCAAATAGTTTTGGTATAAGTGAGGAAATAGAGAAAAAAAATGTCTCTCTATTTGGGTCAAACATTATGGGTGGGCAATTTGGTATGTAACTTCTCGAGTCACCTGGTTTCATTTTTTAATTTTTGGTTTATTTATTATTATGTTACTCGATATCCAACCATTAAAATAACTAATTCACCTGATTGGGATTAATATAGCTAGTAGCCAGTCGAACACGCCGATCCAGTTATTAGCATGGTCAAAGCATTTTGAGTTTACCACAAGTTTTTTATAACCCATACACATGTGGGTGAAGTTTGTATAAGGTGCTCACCTTATATTATACAAGTAAGGTGCACCTTTAATTATTTTTCGGAAGATGTAGTTTTGGTGTCTATAACATTTCAATGACTTAAAAATTTGTTTTCAACCTTGATTATGAAAATCAAAATTTGATAAACAGTGCAAATCGGGTAAATTTATAATCATTTAAAATATTTAAAATAGACGGTCCAGATCACTTGTTACAAAATGCATTATTTTTAAGACTTGAATTTGTTTTTTTTTCTTTATATCCATACGTCTTCAAGTTGAGATGATCAATTGGATAGTTTTGCAACTTTCGAACACTCTCTTCTATTATATTTTTGAGGTGCAACTTGCTTCTATGATATAAGGCTGCAACCTTATATAAACTCTTTCCTATACATGTACACGTTTTTAAGTGATCAGTGAAAAGTTTCATGTTACTATTTGAAAAACAATTGATGGAGCCGGGGTCATGGTGGTAGCATCCCCACACCTAGTCACCACATTGTGGCTTCCATTCCTATAACTAACATCACCGCATTTACACCTTTCAAAATCTAACTCTTAATCTACTTAAAAAAACGAGTAGGGCATGTCTTCTCCACTATATTACCTTAAAAAAATAATTTGATGGAAGGGAAAGAAAAGGGGTTGCCATTTCGTACAAAGAGAAAACATGCCCTTGCACAACAACAAAATTTTATAGTTCTAGGGAATTTTCAAGGGTGCAAGTTGTATAAGGCGCAATCTTACTTGCGGAAATAATTAAAAACCACATCTTAGGGCGAGTACTTGGCCGTTGCCGATCCTACTACTCAGTCCACATAGCAAAAATAAGGTTAAATAAACTACAAGAAATATAAAAAATCCAAAAAATAGAAAATGTATGTTTAACGTAAGATTAAGCTTAAAAAATTTATAAAAAAATAATTTATAAAAAATTAACTTATAAAAAATAATTATTTATTAAAAACTAAAAATATTTATTTTAATAAAAAATAATCGGACTGTTCATTTCTATTGTTTTTAGATGGAGCACCTACTTACATCCATCTTTAAGATGAATGCTTTACACTCACTGGACTGCATATATAGAAATGCGGTCCAGCCCGTATGAAACAATTTTCCACATAATAAATGGTGTAGATTCATGAAAAGCATAAATATTTTCCAAATTTAAATTGTAAAAACACAAAACCGAAACTTTCTCTTTGGGAGTCCGGTAAAAGGGAATACCTTTTTATTTTGTTGGTGTCGAAAACGAAAATCAAACAGTGTCTCGCCAAACATGCAAAATCATTTCCGGTAAATCAAATCTCAGCTAATACTCGGAGTTCCATAAATCACAGACAAAAGGTCGATTAGGGTTTTATGAAATCTTTCATTCTCTCTCTGAAAAATGAAAACTTTTAGAAGAAGAAGAATTATTAGATGATGACCTCGGTCTATTTTCCATTTCTCACCATACAAACTCTTTCTATTATGTGGAATCCTCCTCACAGTAAAAACAGATGCAAGAAATGTAGAGAGAACCAATTTTCGGGAACTACCCCTGAAATCTCCATTCCTAGGTCTGCCGTTCAAATTTTTTTTATTCCATTTTCTAGGGCTTGAGTTCCATGAGTTTGATTTCCATTTTCGGTGTTTCAGTTCCATGGTTCTCATTGCATTTATTGGGTTCTATGGTGGATAGCTTCCCAGTTCGATGACTTTTTTATTTCCTTCCCATTTTACAGGGTTCCAGTTCCATGACTTCTTTGAATTTGGTGGATTCAATGGAGAATCAACCTCTGAAATTGGACTGGAACAAGCTTTTGCCTGGAAGAGATGATCCTGTTGCAGAGCTAGAGGTTCTATCAGACTCCAGAGGGAAGATTAGAGATGAGACTGTTACAGAGCTGGACAGTCTGTCCATGTCTAGAGAGAAAGTTGAGAAAATCACTGATCATCAGCTTGAGGAGAAGATTCAGAGAGTTAAACGCACCCTCTCTACTAGTTTTACATTGAAGCTTCCTGATGGCGGTGAGAAGTTTCGCACCAGCCTAAAGAGATTGGAGGATGAGAAGGAGCGGAGGAAGATTCAGCGTTTGAAGAAGGTAGATTTTGGCCCAGTTATCTGCTCCTCCTCATCTTGAGCTCCACTAAACTGCAATGAAAGCCATTTTTATTTGTATAATTGATAATGTTGGGGGTGTTGATAATGATGCTGATGCTGATGATCGCATGAATTGGTAATGAAATGGAGGAATTGTATATATGATTATTGACAGACATGATTTCAATTACTTCTTCAATTTTCTTCAATTTTTGCATTGGTGGGTACTTCCAGTTCTATGACACCCAACGAGTAAAAGGAGCATTAGAGAGAACAAGATTTTATGGGACTCTTTTACTCTTTTTTTTTTTAAATTGATTTTATGGAACTCTTTCATTGAATTTCAAAATATTCGTATCGGAAGGGAATTCAACAATTTTCTATGGAATCAACTTTGTTTTGTAATCAATAAAAGTCAGTGAAGCTGTAATGGTCATACAGGTTTCCAAAATCTTTGTTCTCATTGTAAGGCCATCTTTTTCTGATATTCCTTCATTTACTTTCTTAAATCTCAAAGCAGGATGATAAAGTCATGTGAGAGAGTGTACTGCTTGCTTGAGGCAAAGAGCCTAAATTCCTGGTGGGGCATGCATTGTTACTGGATTGCTCTTCTAGCTTCAATATGCTAATCTTTTGCTAACTGTGGCACATCTCCTAGATGACAATTTTTTATTTTTTTTGAAACTAGTTGACTTTGTTAAATAGAAAGAAAATTACAAAACCACATGGTGGTAAAGTGGCAGCCCACAAATTGGGTGTTCAGAGTACAAGGAGAAGGCGATAGAAAAACCACATAAAGAAAAAAATTAAAAGATTACAATTTAAAGGAAAGCATCCAAAGGGATTTGCAAACCAAAATGAATCCAAAGGGATAACATTAACCACCTGAAACCATCCATAAAATCATTTGAGTATGCATTTAGTCGAGTGTGAAACATTGTTTTATCGATGAACCTCCACTTTGGTTACATCTTTTTAATACACAACTTTGTGGTTGAAACATGTCTATATCAAAATATTTATTTCATCTTTAGTATGCTATAGCTATCTTTTATTTGATTGGCAGCGTCTATTGTGGTGTCTTGCATCTTTGAGCTGGTTAAGCCTGTGTATCAGATGTAATTTTCAAGGAAAACATTCCATTCGTTGTGCTTGACCATATTTACCAACCTAATGCTTCATTACATTACCAAAAAGAACTTGTTTCGATTGTCTCTTAATCAATTGCTGTAGTCTATGCCTCTGTCAAATAGTTTCTTTTTTTTGATTGCCCAATTAAAAATCTTTGGCGCATCTATTCCATTCTGTGCTTAATTTTAATTTTTCTCATTTGGCACAGGAGGCTGATGAATCTGAGAAGTCGAAAAGAAACTCAATATTTTTGGGTGAGATTGCACTTCACGCTTATGTTTGGGTTTGATGCCATGATAAGTATTCTGTACAAATAGCATATCGATGCCTATGAACTACGTTATATTTGCTATCATTAGAACATAGAAGAAATGTCAATTTTTTCCTCTTGAGGACCAAGACACAGTTTTCATGGTTAGTCCTATTTTTGAAGTCAAATTACTTATAGCCTTGGACAGTTGGACTGTAGGCCAAGTTTGCATGGTGAAATTTTTTATGCAATGCTAAGTTGCTTGTGGTATCATTCAAAGAGAGGCCAACCTACTTGTGGATCGCATGAAAGTTTGGGAACTGGATGAGTTGGTAGGGAATATTTGTACCAAGGAGAAACAACAGATTAGGTAGTAAACTAAGAAAACCAAACCACAAGGTTCTTTGGGGGTTCAGAAGGGCGTCATAGGCTGATGTTTTTGCTGGTTGTACCAAGTGCGCGGGTCATTTGCTGTATTTTTCATCACAACCAATGCAACCTTGCTGTTGTATTTAATGAAAAGAAGATAGGGGGAACAGTTGGGTATTGTGCTTATCTTAACTGAAAAAAGAAGAAGTCAGACGGTGTATACTCATGGAAGTTCAGAATAACCCTACGAAACAATAATATGTTATCTTGTAGCTCTGTATATTATGCAGTTTTCCTGTCTTCAATATTTGAAAAATCAATGTAACATATGATTTAAGTTGTTGAAAAAATAAGCATATATTACCTGTGTTCCCTGTATTATACTGAGTGGTTAGTTTGCTAAATAAGTGCAATTTATTTTATGTGACTCACGGGAAAGTATTTGCATATTGAAATGCAAAATTATATTAGTTTCCTGTCAGAAGATTTGGACTTCGTTGCCAAATAAACATGCACAAACGCAGTCCGTGATAATGGAATATGCTATTGTTCAATTGGACATATGTTCATTGACTCACAATTGTAACAATCAAGTACACTTGATTCTGACTATCAAATAAAGAAAAATACGCTGGATTCTGTCATTTGGTAGCACTTCATGTGTACTTCAATAGTCAATAGAACATGGATATCTTGTTACATATCATATCAATTTTGGAAAAGGATAACTTGTGCTTTATTATTCCCATTCAATAAAGAATAACTATATAGGCATTGTGTTTTGGGACCGTATCACTGTAAGGCTATCATGTTTATTTATTTGTTTGTTTTTGGCTGGCAGATTTGTCTTTGGTTTCTTATATCAGCCACACAGAAGTACTTTACCCTTAGGCTTCTTGATATTTTCATGCTGTGCAGATGCATTTCTTGACCATAGGTCCCAACCATCAACCTCCCTTTCCCAGTCAATGTCTTCTTCTGGCCTTATCTATCAAAAGGTTGAAACAAAGGTGGAAGATATGGCCTCCTATTTAGATATCTCTTTTGCATTACCATGATTATATCCTTCAGCACAATATTGGACAAATTCTCACTTTCATTTTATGTTGTCAGCCAGATGGTAGTATTAATGACAAAGGCAATGCATTTGAGAAGGAGTTGGGATTCTTGGGCCCTAAAGATCCCAACAGTCTGAGATCACAAAGATTGCGGAAACCAAAGGAATTATGGCGTACAGTTTCTTCAAAACAATCACCCTTTGGATCTCCTTTCAGTTTTTCAATAGATGAAGATAAGCGTAAATGCCATGTTGGTGATCGTAAGGGTATTACTTCTTCCAGATCTTCTCCTTTCGGAATGGAGAAAAACTGCCCTAGTCATGGCTTTGAAAAGTATGCTTTTCCATTCCTTTTATTTAGTTGTTATATTCTTTCCTATTTTTGCTTTCCATAACTCAGATTGGGGAAAAGGGAACTTTTGCATCCTCTCCTGGCTATGCTTAGATTAGTTAGCTCTGGTGATGAGTTTTTTTTGTTTAATCGGTTTCTTTTTGGACTTTAGACATTCATTGTTTAGTTGAAAACCAAATAGCATGTTTATCTTGGCCATTTTCATTCCGGCTTGCTTATAATTGGAACTTTGGATGCTAGTGCATAAACTAGGGCCTAGGAAATCAATTGACTTGTAAAAGGGTGGTACGATGGAGAACATTAGATGCTTTCTTGGTTTTAGTGCTTTGCTATTAGAGGCATAAGGGGACACTTGATACCAACCTTATGTGGTTTGGTCTAGTGTTTTGTGTTCAAACTGGTAATAGAAGGGCTTTACTACTATATATCAATGTAATATTGAACTCTTAGTGCTTATGATTGGCAGGCAAGCTTTTAGAATATAGACTAACGAAGCAATACTATTTTTTTTGTTTTTTTAATTCTTATTTGTTTGATCAATAGTATAGAGGGCTTGAAATTGATTCCTAATCTCTCAGCATGGCATAAAAAAGACTTAGAATTTGGTGAACTTAAAGCTTGTGTTGGAAAAGTAAGCTAATAGAGTGCGATTAGAGTACTTCCGACCTGAACCATACTCGCTTTGAGGGCCTACATACTGCTAAAAAGGAAAAGAATTTGACTATGGTCCCATACCTTTGCCCTATACCGAAAGAGATTAGTTCATTGATCAACCACCATGTGATCACCTAGGGAAAGGAATTTTTCTATGGTGCCAAATAGTGAAATCGCTCCATCCCATTCTGGAACCAACAATGACTTGTTAGACTAACCAATAAAGACAAAGAAGGAGGGAGCGGTCTTGTAGAATGGAGCTGCTGTTTGGCTTGGAAGAATCAAGAGGAGCTTTAGCTTTGTGTTTGTCTAATCTTATGACAGATCTAGTGATCTGTGAGAGAGCAACTTTATCTATTCGTCATTCCTTATCCGGGGGTGAGAACACTCGATCCTTTTCCTTACAAGAAAGAAACGACACACACTCCCAGCTCTCAACCACAAGTCGGACCCATACTTCGGCACAACACCACGTGCTTCTGCTGCAACGAACGTTGGACCCGCCTGCTTGTCTCCCGTGCCTGGCCTGGTTGGTTTCCTATAAGAAGTCACTGTTCCGTTTCTAGCACCAGGATAGGGCGGGAATATAAGAGGGTAGAACCCTTTAGTTACTTGCAAAATGTGACTTTATTTTAGAGATGTCCTCATCATTATCATCATTTGAGCTTTATCCGAACTATTTGGAATTGGTTACACAAATCTTGTTATGCTATTCCGCTCTATCAAGGGCCATACCCTCAGTCAGACTATAAGTCGTCATATCTCTTCTCACTCCTTCTATCCATGACCTCTTTTGGGCCTTCCCCTTGCCCTTTTAGAGCCCTTCACTTAAACCAGATCGCCCCTCCTAACCGGTGTTGTTCTAGGTCGATCCTGAACATGGTCAACCCACGAATGTCTACTTTCCCTCATCTTATCGCCTATTGGTGCGGCCCTTACAACATCAAATTTATTCATTTCAAATTTTATCTGTTCCTGTCTTGCCACTCATTCATATTAACATCTTCATCTCAATGACACTTATTTTATGGATATGTTGTTTCTTGATCACCCTACGTCCTGTCCCAACATGTGAGTTTATTTCAGGGATGTCTATTCTTTAAATTTGGCACCTTTGGAGAAGACTTCATGTCTCATTTGATGAGCCAATAAAACCTTTTAAGCTGACACATAAATGTCCAGACTTTTCTTGACATGCCCCATATTGATGCTGCAGACTTGGTTTAGCTACCCCGATAAAGTGCAGTCCATGCTTTTAAATAAACAGTTTTATCATATATTTAGAGTTATATTGGATTTGATGAGGGTATGCTACCCTACATATTTGCATCCCTAATAGAAATCGATGCCTCTATTGAATGCTTCCCTTTAGTTGATTGTTTCAGCAGGAGTCAACGGGTTCGTTAGATTTAAACTATGTTAGTCTTTTTATTGAGTATTCTATTTATTTTGGTTGTATTATGAGTTCGTTCTAGCTCCTGATTATATGTTTTTGCATTTTTTTTCTTGTTTGATGCATGGCGAAAGGAGGTCTTTCTCAACTCCAGCTACACGTGATTTGACGAAAAGAAAGGTGCTGACTCCTAATCTTCCTAATATCTTAGATGGGTATCCTTCTACTGTTTCTATTTTTTCCCAATTCCTTCTGTGAAATCTCCTGTTTATATGATTGGAAAAATGTATGGTGATGCATTGCGGGCTATGAACAGTAAACTGCAGGTCACATCAGCTATCAGTTGTTGACAATGGATGGTAAATACCAGTTGTTCCTCCTGTCAAGTCTCAATGTTCACTTGGGCTGAGAACAGTCATTTGAACAGTAGTTGTTGGCAATGGACAGTCCATGTGACTGCACTTTACTGTGAACCACTACGTCACCGTGTATTAATGTTCGAAAATGCGGCCTGGCTACATAAATTGGACCCTGATCAGTTTGCGTTGAGTCACTCAGGGGTGTCCCTGTCAGAAAAAATAGGAAAAGCTAAAAAGGAATATAAACAATAGATTATGTGAATTCAATTTGAAAAATGAAAATTTAAAATCAAGTATATTGAATTTAAATTGAAAGAAATGGAAGTTACCCAAAATTTTGAGGCCGATTCCCAAATCTTCGTGCTTGGTGCAAATCAATGCCTCCAATCGTTGTCAAAGCATTCCTCAGACAATCCCATTTGAAACCCTTAACCATTAACCAGATTTGGATTTCAAGTTCAGATCTAGTCGATCGGAACTCTTGAAAGTTTTGGATGAATAGTAAATCCAAAACAAAAATCACATGAATCTGATATTTTTTGTGAAAAATATATTATGTTTGGATGCAGAGCCCAATAATAGTGTTGGAGAACAAATATCGTCGAAGGTTGATAAAATATTACGAATAAATCACAATTTTTTAAAATCAGACAAAACCTTGGTCAATGCTTTGATCTGTCATGTCTCTGTTACATTTGTTTGTTTTTTTCTTAATCTGATCTCTCTAGTGAAGAGATCATACAAGGATGAGTCTAGACCCAAATTGGGCTCAAATGCGTTTGTTTTTTGGTTAAAAACGAAAAATATATATATCTCGGAGTTGGGTGTGTTCCGGACTCAGCAGCCTGGTTGTGTATGACTGGCTCGGGTGAGTTCAAGCCGACTCGTGCTATTCAGTGAACCCTTCTATATATCATCCCTAAATGGTCTGTTGTTGCTCGTGTTTTGTATAGTTACAGCACCCCTATGCTAGGGTTACGACATTTTTCATGTGTTCCATTTCCATATCTTTTTGTTTTATTAGTAAAAACCTCTCACTGAAAAATTAAAATAATTATGTAGAGATATTGGGGAATTTTAGCTTTTTATACTTGGATATGCCTTATGTTTATGGGGGAACCAACAGTTTGCAGAATATACCATACCAAGATTCAAACCTAGATGTGTGTTTAAATGCGTGGGCGTGCCTCAGAATATGTCTTCGCCATGTTATGGCATGATTGGAACTCTTTATAAAACTGTTCGTTTGTCACAATTTTACTTGCAACGAGAATGTCCCCAATAATGGACCTACATCTGTGACACACGCTAGTTTAATATTGCTGCCTTGAGGTCATCGTATCTGATAAAGTCACTTGTATGGAAAAAGCAACAAGTCCTTCCATTGCCTTCATATAAATGTGATTAAAATCCTGGATTCACCTTGACATGATTTTGTTAAAACAACACTAGTTCTTTTACTTGATGTAAATGGGGCTGATGAACAAAACTTAGCATGATGCTGTCATTTCATTTGAGCACCTATTTCTTTTAATTTTGTTTCCCTTGTAACTGTTTTAAGCTGCATGGCTGTGTGCTTTTATCTTGTTTCAGTAGTGATGTCTTGTGTGTTCGGCACTAGTATCTTATGCAGTAGTTGGTACCCCATATGTTTTTGTTTGTGCACGTGCACATATCTGAATATCTTATAATTTTAGGGACTCCTTTGCTATGTTGTGAACCATCGAACATGGTAACAGCACTTAGATCATAGATGTCAAGTAAGGTGGCAACGAGTCCCAATATGTTTGCTTCTTCTGATGATCCATCATATCTTTATTTGAGAGGTTCTTTCATTGTTTTGACTGAAGGGATGTATATACCTTGTAGTTATTCTAAATTTGAAGTTTCACTTTGAGGGCCTGATCATTTGTCTAAATGTATGGAGGTCTCAAACTTTATCTAGAAAACCAAATACTTCCACTTGAGGGACCAATGTACACTTTCCCTTCCTTTCTGCCTGAGTTAGATGCTATTAATAGGATCTGTATATGGATGGGGCCTTCTAGGCTGTGTAGTTTGGAAGTAGTTGGATTTTATAGAAGGGGCTCACTTGGCTTGGGGGGAGTTTTGGGCTTTATTCAGAGTTTGCTATGAACTCTTTTAAAATCATTGACTGTTCTGTTTCTTGAGTGGCAAAGGACATGCTGATAGATTAACAAACTGGAAGTGTCACTAAAAAGGGGATGGTGGTTGCTTTACAGGAGTTAACTTCCTTGGTCTGGTGAATAGTTTTGTAGTTCTTGTTGCCCTTTTTGTTGTACTTGTGTTCATGTTTTCTTTTTTAATGGATTTGTCATTAATAAATAGTGTTTAGGGTTATAATATAATTTAAAATTTTGTTGGAGAACATTGCTTGTTAAGAAGGATATTGATGATAGTGGGTGTGCATGCTGATTTACTTGTTCCTACTGAATACAATGGTTACATAACACTTTTCTCTTTCTTTAGATTAGACACAAGCACGGCTACAGCGAAAGCAAGCGGTTTAGGTAGAACGTATGTGTTAGTGGTTGTTAACGTTTATGTGACTTTGCCATTCAGGTCCAGACTGTGGTTCTTTTGGATGAAGAGGATTTAGAACCTACACAGGACCTGGAGAAAGAACCGCACAAGGGGTAGCCATTGCTCCAACAGTACCTTTTGTCTAAGTTTTTGACCTATGATTTCTTTTCAACAAAGATTGAAAGTAATTATGCTTTATGGCCATCTATTAACTTTGCGAATTTTAACTTCTTCAGGATGACAGAAGCAAAGATCTACTATCCATCAAGGTAATACATTCCTAAGAATGAATATTATTTCCTCTTAATGTTTCCCACATTTCAGTCCATTCTTTGTGCATAGAAATGCATAGTTTCTTGCCATTGTAAAACTTGTATTTGCTGTCATCTCTTTGTACATAATCATTTTTGTGTACAATACAAGTCAACGGTTCACAAAATAACAATCTTGTCACCTTTCTATCTAGCTCTCATACGTTGTTTCTTGTCAGTATTCTTTTTGATCTTTCTACCAACCTTCTAGCAGGGATCACCCTGATGCTGTTGAAATTTGCTATTCGGATATGGAATGCCTGGCTCCTCGATCTTATTTATCATCACCAATTATGAATTTCTACATTCAGTAAGTCATCCATGATCTGCAGTTCTAATTACCAAGACATGTGCAGGTTCTAAATGAACTTGAATTGTGGAAAATCAGCCTATTTGAACTTTATTTTATCTCATGTGTTGCTAGGGTAATAAGGTTCACGTAAGTATCTGGATATGGTAGTAGTTTGCTGGTAATTCATCCTGTCATGTGGTTTCAAATCAATTGAAGCTCATGAAATTAAAATACTAGAATGCAAGTGGTATAACTTTCTTGCACATTTCACTGTAAATGTTTTTCTTGAGAGTTTTGTGTTTTTTTTTTTCTCTCTCATTCTCTTTATTTATTTCTGATCTCCTTTTTCTTGTTTTTTCCTTCCGTTGGGATCAATCTTTTATATGTACTCTTTTATGAACCAATGTGGAAGACGGTGTGGTAAACTGGAGAAAGAATCAGAGCAGGATAAATCCAAAGCAAAAGTAAGGACTGCTTCAACAGGATTCAGTGGGTTTGCAATGTTCTGGAGATTAGTCGGTCCATGGACATCTCATTTGCCCTTGCTAGGGGATAATGCTAATGTGAAAACAGACTGTTTTCAGATGGGAAAGATTGGATGTTTAGGACCTAACATGTCTCTACTTTACAAACTTGTCATATTTTTCAAATTTAGAAAGTTAGTATTTGTTATTCTAAAGGGACAAAGGTTACCATTTCAGAGTCCAGCCACTGGACAAATTTGTCCAATTCAGCAACACCATTAGAAGTTTTAAACTTGACGTTCATTCCCATGATTGCCATTTTTTTAATGCTAAAATAGTTGATCGAGAACCTTGAAGGAACTCAAAATCAACTTCATTGCTGCCCTTGAGATTAGGGATGTATATGCCTTATCATTATTAATGTCGACAGACTGACACGTGTAGGTTTCTTCAAGCAAATTGCTAGTGAAGCTGAAGCAAGTTAGCTAAAGTTAACTTGTCAACCTAAATGAAGCATTGAAGCATTGTAACCACCACTACTCACAAAGTGTACATAGATAGGTGGGAAAAAAATGCCCAATACAAAAGATTACCTTATGTAAAGGTAAATAATTAAGAATAAGTAGGCAGGTCGGGAGTACAATTATCCTCCTCTTTATCTACTCTATAAAATTGATGTTGTGAGTGATTATGGTAAACTTTGTCTAAATTCCTTTATACATGGGATCCAATTGGTTTTGCTGTGTCTTATTTCACATTGTAGGATTGAAGTCAACTATGCATATGTAGTCTGAAAATAATGCCCTTGGTTCACTGGAATAAGCCACAAACTAACTCTATTGTTAACAATCTGTTTAATTTCTCTGACAGGTATCTTCAAAGGCCAGAGCTAGGGTTTCAGGGTGATTACCATTTTTTCAGCACATATTTCTATAAGAAGCTTGAGGAAGCTGTGTCGCATAAGGTGTTTGTTGTTGAGACTTCGTTTTTTGTAGGAGGATGCCTTTTATCATCATGCTGCCTCTGGCCTTCACTTTCGTCATTTAATCTAGGCTACTTATACAAATTGCTATACTTGTGCATTTGCTCCTCCTTGGGAAGCCTTGTGTCTATTCCCATGTTAATGTTTGCCTTTTTGTGTTTCGTAGAGAAGAACTGATAAGAGGATCTCATTTGCAAAGCTTAGGAGGTGGTGGAAAGGGGTCAATATATTTCAAAAGGCATATATTTTCCTACCAGTACATGCTGAGTAAGTTTCTGCTGTTGTGTTACCACTTCTTCAGTCTCTCGACTATGCATTTGAGTGAGATTTGGTGTTTATAGTTCATTATTCTTGTATTTCTCTCCAATGCATGCTCACTAGGAAGAAACTGTTGCCCTGTCTGAATGCGTGTGTAAATGACACAGAAAGTAGGCATGTATGCACAGGTTGTTTGCTGCCTAGTTTCTCGTTGCTGATATTTTTTTGAGAAATCTTGTTGCTGATATTTATTATTGTGTTACAATTTCTGTGCACCAATTTCTTGTGGCATTTCTTAAAGGCATTTTGCCTCTAAAAAAGAAAAGAGAAGAGGAATGAGGAGAAAGTCTAGGGAGAGAACAACGGAGATTTAGAGAGAGAGGAGTTACAGAGGTGGGGCTGGAACTTTGGGGTACAAATTACCCACACACCCTTCTTATCCTTATCTATTATATATTAAACAATAACCCTTTTATTCTTGTGACGAGTACCTTTTCTACTGCCAATTTTGTCCTATCTATTTTTAAATCTCTTCCCTTATCTATTATATATTAAATGATAACCCTTTTATTCTTGTGACGAGTATCTTTTGTACTGCCAATTTCGTCCTATTGATTTTTAAATCTCTTCCAATTTTCTTCTTTGTTTGTCAATTTTATCTTCATCTTTAATCTTTATCTCCATTTAATCTTTACCTTTTCTATATACTATCTGTAAGCATCTCACATTATCTTTTATTATTTTTTATTTATTTTTGGGTAGTTCATGTAGGAGGGGTCCAACCAGGAATGGAACTTAAGACGTCATGTTGTGGCACCATGCTCCACTGATCACCTAGCGTTCAACCCATTCCTAACCCTCTCTCATTATCTATTTATCATTATTTATATTATCATAATTATGTGATTATAAAAATTAATCAGATACCATAATAAATATTGTAATATACATCATATTCACAATTATTAATGTAATTATAAAAATTATTTATAAATTGTTATAATTGAATTATAGCCCTCATTGCACATTGAGCATGGGTCACCTAAGTATCTCCTCAAGTGGGGGAATGAGCGTCATAATTATTATAACCTAATTATAACTATTGAAATACAAATATTAATAAGAATAATTAACTTTTCTTGGAATGTTACAATGATAATTATAATTAAAGTTTTAAGGTGTAATCAAGATAGTTATACAATATTTTTAATTAATTATTACAATGAGAAATAAATCTTCTGCTCATTTTTAAATGTTTAACAAAAATTCTAACATTATCATGAAGAAAATTCTAATTAGTAAAGATTATGATAATTATATGATATTATTCATCATTAATAACAATATAGTAAGTTATTATTATTTTTAATAATTATTGTAATTTAGAATTATTATGCAACCATAAGATATAAGGAAAAAGTTTATATAAGGTGTCAAACTTATACTGTACGAGTAAGGTGCACCTAGAAAACCCACTAGAAATGGTTGTTTCCCTGCTGGAAAACCCTCAAATCAATCATCTCAACCTTGAGATTCATAGATATGAAAAAAGGGGACTTCTAGTGCTAAAAATAGTTCATCTTTTAACACAATATCTGGACTGTCCATTTTCAAGATTTTGAAGTATTTATAGATCTGCTTGATTGCCACCATTTCTTAAGCTTTAAATTTCATAATTGGGGGCAACAATAGATTTTCATATCATTGCAAGGCTTTGCGGCACCTAAACTGCATTTTTGGCATAGTTTTGAGGTGCACCTTACTTCAATAGTATAAGGTTGACACCTTATACAAATCTTACCCAAAATATAAATTACATGTAAATATAGTTATGTACAAATATCTTTAGGTTTTAAATACCTACTCATCTAGAACTTTTTCTATTATTAGTGGTTTTTTTATTGCGTTTTATAATAATTATAATCCATATGAGAATTTAGATATTATAATAGTACTAATTTTAATTATAGTTTTATTAATTACTAGTGTGCTGATTGTATAACATTCTTAATGAATATGAAAACTATAAATAACTACTATTGATACATTTTAGTAATACACTAAAAATTATATAATTGTACATGAACAATACAAATTTATTATGGGAAAATATCATTAAAGGGAATGAACCCCCTCAAAAAATTATTTTAGGGGTCAAATTATCCCAATTAACATTTGAAGGCATACTTTTTCTTTTTCATTTCACTTAGATACCTCCTCAATTTTTTTTTTTAAATATCCAAATTGCCTTTGTCCAGCATTTGGAATGAGGAACATCATTTCAGTAATTTGACCTGCTAAGAGGCCTCACCTAAATGAAGAATAAATCAATCGACATTGATTCCTAGAAAATGACCTAGCTAATTCAATACCATTGTCTGAAGATACTATTACAAATACTTAGTTATTAATTCCTTCCCGACCACTACTTGTGACACCGATATCCTCAACAGAAACCATCAAGACAATTATGCTTGAGGGTTGCCTCCAATTAAATATAAGATGCTCCGGATGGCTCAGTTGAAACTGTATGCTATAACAGTGAATGAAACTGATTGATCTACCCATGTGGAGACTGCTCCAGACCATAAATGGCCTTCTTCAACTTACATAGCTTGTATAGATTGCTTTGAGCAACAAACCCTGGTGGTTGCTCCATTTATACCTCTTCTTCTGAATTACCATGCAGGCTGGCATTTTTAACATAGAGTTGTTACATTGGCAAACTCGTATTTACTGTACTGATATAAGCACTTGAACAAAAATAAGTTTGGCAACAGGAGCAAAGGTCTCAAAATAATATATGCCCAAGGTTTATATATACCCTTTTGCTACCAACCTGGCCTTTAACCTCTCATCCGGCTGATACTTGACCATATAAGCACTATGTCATGCAACGGTTTGCTTTCTTGCTGACAAATGAGTAGGCTCCCACATGCCATTTGATTGCATTATTGTCTCTTCCTCATCCATTTCTTCCTTTTTCCCAGTATGAGAAGGAACTTCCTAGTAGGACTTAGGTATAGAAATAATGGAAAGTGACAGCGTAAAATGTTGATAGGAAGGAGACAAATTTGTAAATGTAACAATATGAGCAATTGGATGTTGGATAAAAGGCCATTGGCTTTTAGGAATTGGTATTAGAGCATTAACGTTACCAGACACAAAAGTGGGGATAGGAATTGGAATCAGATCTGTAAATGGAGATGGTGACTGATTTGCTTGCTTGGTGGTGGGTCTACTTCACTTTCCTTCTCGTATATACCTTTTAGGTCTGCTCTTGAGACACATTAATAAGAGGAGGAGAGTCAAACTTGATAGAGATACTTAGATGAGATGGTGACAAAGGATGATCTTTAGGAATAGGAACATGAACTAAAGAAAGGGAAGGAGGATGATTTCATTGTGTGAAGCCTCCATCTAAGCAGGATAAAATAAATTAGCTTCAACCATTTGGCCCTCATTAGAGAAATATGGAGTATTCTCATTAAAGATAACATCAACGTAAACAAATTTCTTTCTCAAAACAGGATGATAGCATCGTTAACGTTTTTGGGTGCAAGAATATCTTAGAAATACACACTTGATAGCTCGAGGATCTAACTTGTCACTACCAGGACCCAAAGCATGTACAAAAGAAACACGAAACACAATCAAATGCATGAGGAGGAACTGCAAACAAAGGTGTATCATGAAAGAGTATAGAATATGGTGATCGGTGATCCATAATAGAGTGAAGGCATGTGGTTTGTCAAACAACATGCAGTCACAACAACTACCAAATAAACCTTTGGTACATTTATATTTAACAAAAGGGCACGGTTCCTCCTATTATATAATGATTTTTTTGTCTTGCAACCTATGCTTTTGAGGAGTGTGAGCACAAGATGTTTGATGATGTAAGGATCGTATGGTGGGGTAAATAATCTTGAAATTCCCATGATAAATATTCTTTCGAATTGTCATAATGCATAATGCACACAATCTGATCAAATTGAACTTGAATTTCTCTATAGAAAAATTAAACAATAGAGAAAATCTTAAGTTTTTCTTTCATTATGGATAACCATGTCATAGAAAACTAATCATCCAAAGTTTTCAAACCACTATCAAAATGAAGACCAGAAAAAAAGGAAAAACCTTCTATTTATCAACTTTGGGATAGATAGACACTGTGATACTTGCGTAGCTTACAAGCTTCACACTCTAATATTAATATAGACTCTAAAGATTGAACTACCATTTTGAAATTATTAAGCGATGGATGACCCAACTGACAATGTTATTGAAATGGTGAAACATTGAATGTAGAGGACACCAACTAGGCTATGATCCAAAATATGAAGTACACTAGACTCAAGCCCTCCACCAATCGTCCTTTATTTTTATCTCCTGAATTCAAAAGAGGGATATTATTGAACATTGTAATGCAAAAGAGGGATATTATTGAACATTGTAAGTAATTTACTAAAGAACAATAAACTAAAAGGAAATTTTGGTACATGAATAATAGAGGACAATGAAAGAGATTAGCCTAGAATGATTGGTCAGAGGAGCCAATCGGATGAACATATGACCCTCATATGCATAATATACTTGATTAGCCTAGCAGTCTTAACAAATTATTCCAACACTTATCAACCATAGGATTTGTGTGAACACAATGAGTACATCTCATGTAATAGTCACTGAGACTTTTGTTGCCCCGTTATAAGAAAAATTAAAATGTACTCATAAAGTTCATAGACTCTGAGATATTCTTATCTAAAGAATGCATCATGTATGGCCTCCCAAACTTCATTGGTTGTATCAAGAAACATCACATTGGCAGTCACTTGGGCTTCCATATTATTCCATAACCAAATCACTTCAATGTTATGTAACATTTCGTTCATTTTTTCTTCAATGTTATGTAACATTTTGTTCGTTTTTCCTGTTATGTAACATTTCGTTCATTCTTTTGTTTTTATCGGGATCTAAATATGAAGATGATGATTGGTGGCGGCTTGAGTCTGTTGGACTTTACTACTATCTGGATAGTGGTCTAGTGTGTTGCTTTTCATTTTAGTGTGTCCACTTCAAATGCCATTGTCTGTTATGTCATCTATCTCATAGTAATTCGAAACTATTAGCTCCATCTTTGGAGTCAATGTCAACAATAGAGTGTGAAGCTTGTTAGTTAGGCAAGAATCATAGGGTGTTCTTACATCGTAGAGTTGCTCTAATGAAATTCTATTCCTTTTTTGGTTGTTTATTTTAATATTTGAATTCCTACTAAAGTTCAGAGTCTCTATTTGGTCACAAATATTTTGTAAATGACGTGGTTATACTTAAAGACTTGAAATTGTGCCTATTTTTCAAATTTTTCACGAAGAAATTCAAGTTCAATATATAAGAATATATGTATTTTACTTTTTGACAGTGCTACAGAATATTTATTGCGAGAATTCAAGATTATTTAGCCCAACATGAAAATTTACATCAAACATCCCATGCTCATACTCCTCAATAAAATGGGGTTGTAGAACAAAAATTTTCCATATAATAGAAGTTCTTTTTGTCCTGTTGTTAAATATGCATGTGCCAAAGGGTTATTGGGTAGCTGGTGTGTTGACTACCTGTTATTTAATAACCTTATGCCCTCCTTTGTTTTTTATGGCAAACCTTTCCGAGTACTCATCTGTTGTAGTTCCTCTTTTGTATTTAGTTGTATTTTTTTTTATTCACACTTTGGGCCCTGGTAGGTTATCAATGCTATCAAGTAAATATTTCTGGAATATTCTCGCAGCCAGAGAGGTTATCAATGCTATTATCCTGGTTTGAGAAAGGAAAATGTTTGTGCATAATTAATGAGTTGATCAAGATGTTTTGTGATAATCAAGCTGCTACCTATATAGCTAGCAACCTAGGTGTTCCATGAGAGCACCAAGCATATGGAAGTGGACTGTCATATTGTCCTGGAAAAGTAAGTAGTTGTCTCCCCAAATTTGAAGTCAGAATAGCAGCTAACAGATATATTTAGCAAAGCTCTTTGTCATGGTTAGATTCAGTTGATTTGTTCCAAGTTGGGTATGGGTGAGATTAATGGTCCATCATGAATGGGAGTGCTAATAGCGTTTTTCAGTTTAGTCGTTTGTTATTTCTCTTATTATGTCCCTATATAGCATTCTTGTCCTTTTCCCATACATAAGAATAATTTTGTACTTTTCATTATTAAAATGCAGACAACCATATTAGTTTTCCACATGCACACAAAAAAAAGAAAAGAAAAAGAAAAAAGGGAACCTTGGCAATACATGGTAAAATCAGCAGAGGACAGAATTAGGGTTTATTTCCTTTTCAAGGAAAAGGAGAAATCAATTAGAAAGAAATAGGAGAATAAATCAGATCCCAGGATCAAATTGCTTCTATACCAGGTTAAAGAGTGTAGAAACAAAGGAAAAGAAAAGAGGAATGAAGAGAAACAAAGTCCAGAGAGAGAGAGAGAGATTTTGAGAGACAGAAGTCAGAGAGATGGGGCTGTCACGTTAGGGTTCAAATTACCCATATGCCCATCTCATCCTTATTTATAATTACAAATAATGAAAAGTACAAGAGTATGCTTAACTGACAAGAATGCCTTGTAGACATATAAACAAGAGAAATAACAAAAGAACTAAAATGGAATTTACTGTGGACAGCCCCCATCCCCTGTATGCCCACCTTGTTTAGCAGTTTATTGGGACATCCAGACAGGGTTGCATGTTTCACTTACACATTTGCAAATGGGAAAAATCCTCCTCTCGTGCATCTTGTATTAATTTCCATGAGATGAATTTTGGTGATTTTTTATGTTTGTGATGTTGAATTCAGGTTAATTACTTATAAAAAGGGAAATTTATTGAATCCCACCTAGAAGTTGAAGTATTTAACATTTTATCCATTTGTTGAAAGAGTATAAAATGCCCTTAAAAAACTATATCACATCCCATAAATTGTGGGATCGACTCCACTATTGGCCCTCCTTAAAAAATGAGTGCCCTTTCTCTCTCTCTCTCAACTTTCTCTAACACTGGTGTTATGTCTCATTTCTCTCTCTTAACACATCTTTGATTCAAATGCTATAATTTGAACTTTTTTTTTTTATCTCTAGAATCATTGCCTAGGTCCTCAAATTTTCTCTGCAAAAGTTTGATTGCGTGAACCTAGCTGATCCTTTAGTGCAGGTTGTGTAGGTTCCCATTTTTGTTTCCAACAAAAGCCTAAAGCTTTCCGTAAATTTTCTGGTGAGAATTTTTGGGTACTTAACTACTTATAAATTAAAATTTTTAAATATGGGTGTGATGGTACCTTTTGATAAATTTCCCAAGAAAGAAAAAGACAAATTTAGGTTAGAACGCGTTGTTTGAATCATTGGGTAGCATTCCTTTAGAATTATTTATAAAAAAACTTTTCTTATTGTTAATATTATTTTGGGCATCTTAAACAAGCAAGTGTTTGTTTTGTCATGGATGGTTAATTGGTAGAATTTTGTTTGCTAGTTCTTAGATAGTCATTCTCGATTGCAAGTTTTCTTTAAATTAATTGGAAATATTTAAGATATGATTTGGTTCTTTTCATATTCATATTGACAAAATGATTGGGGCCAGTTTGGTGGAACTTCCTGATAGACACGAAACTCAAACAAAATGGTGCTTGCACTCGTCAAAATGTGTTTCAAATGAAATTGGTTACTTCATGTTCTCATTTCACCCACATTTTAGCAGCAATTGTGTGGGGCAATGTATTTGGGCATTGACTGCTTGCTATTCTAGAACTAAAATAAAGGTTGAAATAAGTTTTGTGCTGGCTTCCATACTGGCCCTTAATGTGTGTGTGAGTGCGCGCGTGTCTGTGCCTGCACGTGCACACATGTGCATTCATGCATGAGGCCTCTTCTAGTGGGCATAATGTATCATCTAGATGCCATTGAGGTGATCCAAAGCTCATATTGAAGATATTTTCAAGGCATAAAACTGCTTTCTTATTGAAGCCCTTGCAAACTAGTGACTCGGGACCCTATTTATGATCTGATAGAAATTTCTGCATCTTATACTGGTTAAGATAGCAAATATCATTACGAGTTGTTAGCTTGAAAATGCAGTAATGGTTATAATATTGCATTTTTCCTATTCGGTTATGAATTAATAATGCCAATTGGACCATTTTCTTATGCTGGCTAACAAACTCTGTGTGGGTTGGTGTCATTAAAAGTGCTGAACTGAATCCAAACCTGTACTGTCTGCAAAGACTTGTTTCAGACCCTTGCATGTTTGGTAATGGGTTATAAAACTCATTAGGAACATCTGTAATGCGGCTTATGCAAGCGTAGCACATGATATTTTGTTTTGTTAGTATAATATGATGTGTCCTTTCTGTTCCATAGTAGATTTCTTCCCCTGAATCTTCCTTGCCCTCATTCTTGATGTTTGATGTTATTTGATGAATCACAGCCAGCATTGGAGTTTAGTGATTATTTGCATCCCTTCAAAGGAAGATGAATCAGGACCCTTTATCCTTCATTTGGATTCCATGGGACTTCACTTTAGCATGGAAATATTTGATAACATTAAGAGGTGAGATAGAAATTTTCTCTGATTATGGTGAAGATTAATAAACTGCTTTTGTAGAGGTTTGTCTGTCAGTTTTTTACTTTTACGAAAACGGAAGTGTTTTGGAAGTTGGAGTAGTTAAATCCAGAAAGAATGCTCATCATGGCCAACTTTCTCCAATATCATCTGTTTTTCTTACATGGAGATATCATTTGTACTCTCTGAAGTTTGTCATGCTATTAGAGCAAGTGATAATCTATATGCATCTTAATTAGTTGTAGTGAGAAACTAACATGAGGTATGATTCTAACTTTTCTGAAGTGTTTTGGAAGTTGGAGTAGTTAAGTTGGCCAACTTTCCCCAACATCATCTGTTTTTCTTAGGTGGAAATATAATTTGTACTCTCTGAAGTTTGTCATGCTATTAGAGCAAGTGATAATCTATATGCATCTTAATTAGTTGTAGTGAGAAACTAACATGAGGTATGATTTTAACTTTTTTGTGCATTCATTGTCATAGAACATGAGCCGATAAACGCATTCACTGTCACAGAGCATGAGCAGATAACTGATGTTTCAGGGAAGCAAGTATGAATATTCCCATGAGGTTCTCAATATAGTTGTTGGAGGTAGGAGCAGGAGCAGGGCGTTGTTACTTGCTAGGACTTCCCTACAATGGAGTGCCTGCACAATAGATATGTAACAAAGAGAAATTTTAAAAATAAAAGATTAACAATCTACGTTTCAAAAAACGCTAGGTGGCCTGCCTAGCGCCCAGCGCCTAGGTGGGCGCCCAGAACATCGGGTGCCCTGCGGTGCAAATTCTTAGTTTTTTTTTATATATTTGTTATCCAAATGCAAGTATATGCATATATTTGTGTCAAAATTTGTAATTTATTCCAAATTTTGAACCATACAAAACATTTAAAAGTCTAATAGGCCAACTCTCAAATTCTCCATATTGGCATATTCCATATCCATAAAATAAACCATAATAACATCCAAGTCTCCAACTCTCCAAGTTATCAACAAACTGACTTCCAAAACTATAAAAAAACCAGTAAACCACACAACGAAATAGTCCAAAAAGGCAAAAAAACTATAAACCACATAACTAAATAAAGATCGTTCAGACTCCAAATGTCTAAAGCCCAAATCAAGATGGTGCAATAAAATATTAAAGTTACTTCAAATGAAGAGAGAAGACAATCAAGACATCAATAAGAGTCAGAATCATCTTCATTGCTTTCATCTGCATCTGAATTGAGGCCGCCATCATCGGAATCATCACCCTCTTCAACATATTCCTCTTCTTCTAGAGATTCTTTTGAATCTGCCTCCTCTTCCTCTATCTCCCTCTGTGAAGTACCAGCAGAAGAAGTTGCTCGAGTGGCCCTCCTAGGATCAGAAGCTTGCCCTGAAGCCTCCTCGACCATTTCCCGTGTCAAACCCTCTCCAAGGAAGACCTCTTCAGTACCAAGGGCACTAACTAGCTAATTTGAAGCATTCTCCATGTCTTTCGAAGAGATAGGGTCCTTCTTTGGCTGGTTTTTCTTCTCCTTGAGCCTTTGATTCTCTCTAACAAAAACCAAGTCATTGAGCTTGCTTTGCTCAAGCCTATTTCTTCTCTTTGTATGCACCTATAAGGAAAAATAATGCATAAGTAACTACTATAGGTCTATGATCTTCTTACCTTTTATGAATCTATATTACAAAATGAATATGAACTTATAAACAAAAAAAGGATATAAAATTTTATTCTTTTAAAATAGTAAAATACCATCTCAAACGAACTTCAATTGCGCTCACAACCAAAAGAGGTAGTTGTCAAACTCAAGATCCGCATAGCCATCTTCTTGAGGTTTGGAGCGCTACTCCCATGTTGTCTCCACCATTGGGCTGCAATATATGGGCAACCTTTATAATTAATTTAGGTATTTAACATTATCAGAACTTAAAAGAAAATTATAAATTTATATTTTATAAAACAAAAGCACATAAGTCAAAAGAATATTACCTAGTTTGTCTTTGTTTCTCTGCCTTAATGCCATATTTTTCCCAAATGACATCAAAGAACACTTGTACAAAATTTGCTCTTCAATTGATATCTTATCTTGGATATTTGGATCAGGAACTAATTTCTCAAGGCACTCATTAAAACCATCCATAACTACCCCTTTTTACTTAATATCTGCATCTGCATAAAAGAATTTGGGGTTCAAGTAGTACCCCGCTGCATGCAATGGTCTATGGAGTTGCCTATCCCATTTATCATCTATAATCTCCCAAATTGGGGCATCCTTCGCTGCATCATTTCCCAAATTCTCTGCAATCTCATTCTTAGCCATTTCCATTGCATCATATATAAGCCTATGGAGGGCTTATCAGCATCAACCAAGCACAAGACCTTCACCAAGGGAAGAAATACTAATATCTCATGCTTCACCCAATGCCAAAAATATTTCGCAAGAATAATATCTCGTGTCTTCTTTTCCCTTGGCATCTCTAGACCATTTACACCTACTCCACTCCTCTGAAGCAAACATAGATCTTAATGCAATCCTCCTCTTATACACGCTCTGTAGATTAAGGTAGGTAGTGGAAAATCTAGTGATCTCAGGCCTCACTAGCTCTCTCTTTTTTGTAAACTTGCGCATCATGCTAAGGGTAAGTATGTGACTGTATATGAAGATTGTGATCTCCTTAGCCTTAAAAATAATTGCTTTAATAGGAGCCAATTCACCAATTGCCTCAAGCATAAGATCTATGCAATGTGCAACGCAAGCAGTCCAAAATATGCGAGGCCTCTTTTGTCGAAGCAAATGACCTACAGCTAGATTGGGAGCAGCATTATCTGTGACTACTTGAATTACATGTTCCTCCCCAACCTTCTCAATACCCTTATCAATGAAAGAAAATATATAATGCGTATCATGAACATCATTGGAAGCATCGATTGAGCGCAAAAAAACTGTACTCGTGGGACAATTTACTAATAAATTTATGTTACTCCTCCTCCTATCACTCCACATATCTGTCATCAAAGAACCCCAAATTTAGCCCATCCCTCCTTATGAGTCTTGAGATATTCATTAGTGTACTCAACTTCTTTCTTCAGTAGTGGCTCTCCAATCTCATAAGGAGTTGGAGCTTTCAAACCTGGTCCAAATTGCCCAATTGCTTCCAACATTGTATGGAAGCTATTCAAACTAGCAGTGTTAAAAAAAATGCCCGCATGGTAAAACCACCGAGCAATATACTGAATCACCCTGGCTCTATCTTCCTTTTTAAACCTATTTTCAATTGTCACCTGTTTTTTCCCCTTTCCCTTGCCTTTCTCAATTACTGTCTCACGGCTAGGTGTAAAAAATCTATCTATAGGCCCTTTCGTAAGAGCCTTCTTAGAGCTCTGAGTACCAACTATGACTACCTCTTCTTCCCCCTCTTCATCATCCTCTTCTTCAGTTTCAATATTATCATAAAAAATATGAACCCCTGACTTTTAATCTGCTATATCCGTTTGTTTTGCAACTTTTTTACTCTTTTCAGCTTCAATGTACTCCAAAATTTCTTTCTTTACAAGATCTGAGACTTTCTTACATGGGGCAACATCACCTCTAATACCAGCAAGATGTTTCTGAAATCTATTTATGTCGGCATTAGAAACATGTCCACAGAAATTCCACATAATTTTATTTGTCATTTTTATTCGGGTTAACACAACATTTCCATCCCGGATCTCCACCCCAAGTAGACCTCGCAGAAGACATCTCAAATTGAAAAAATAAATCTCAAATAAAGATTACATACTGACTTTTTCTACCCAATCTCTGATCTTCGATGTTGGCTATCTCAGTTGAGCTACAAATCAATTTAAAAGTCTTCTAATACCACCAATAGCACCCTAAAAATAATTTCAATCAGAAAAACAATCTTTTTCAATCCACAAGAAGTACTTTCGATTCTCAACAATTGCTTTAGATTCTCCTAAATAAGTTTAAGATCGAGGGTTTCTTGTTTTTTTTCAGTTTGGGGTTGAAAAATAAATCCCTAAACTTATTTTATATAAACTTGGGGGTCAAAATGACCCCCTTTGCCCTTTTGGGCGAAGTTAAATGAAAATAATAATGTATTGTGCTGGGCGCCCGCCCAGGTACAGCCGCCCGTGTTGGGGTGCCTAGGTCTAGGCGTGCGAAAAAAATTTTTTGGGCGCCTAGGCACCGGGTGGTCCGTTTTTTTAAACATTGTTCACAATCTTTAAAATAATATCTATATGAAAAATTAATATACTAGGAATATATTTATTATCCCTAAAAATAGGAATGGTGACGGGCTTGGTCGGTGCCGACCCGGACCTGACCTGAAAGCCTACCTATGGGACCCGGATCCAACTGGTTCTTGAGTTCCCCACCTAGAGCTGACCTGAGTTGATTTGGGAGGACTCAGACCCGACGTGGACCAGTACCGAAAATCAATTTGGGTCAGCACTGGGTTGGTCCTGACTCAAACTTGACCTGACTTGTGGCCACTGTTCTTATTGACAGTTTGGCATGGGAAATTTGCATTAATTTTACTTAATTTTCATGCAATTATCATCTTTTTAGGTAATTTTTTAGAATTCTAGGGTAAAAAACTATTAATTTTTCCATGTTTTAATTTGGATAGGGTCGGCGTGAGTTGGGTCAATCCGACCCTAATTTCCAAAGCAGATGCACCAAAGATCAAGCTCGAGTAGGACTAGCAATCAGGTCCATTTGACTTGCGGATCAAGATGAACTGGGTCCAGGCATTGGACCTGGAGGTTCTAGGTCCAGGTTGACCCGACATGGGTACTCTACATATATGTATATGTATGTCTTTTCTAAATGTTAATTACATATCTAATAAGAACTTAATGAATAAAAATCTTAATTAAACTAATACATCTGATAACCTGCGCTTCTGTTTCTTTCTTCCTGCCTTCCACGCAAAACGAGACCCTAACCCTCAAGACTCCTTCTCTCTAAGATTTCTAGAAGGAAATTCCTAGTACTTGGTCCTTTGTGGTTTGAATCCTTCTCTCACTAAGGAAACCTTAGAAGGAAAACCCTCAAAACTAAGGTATACCCTCTGTCTGAGTCTCTCTCTTGTGTATTTGGTCCTTTGTGCGTCTCTCTGTTGCTGTTATTCTATTCCATGCCTGGTTTATATGTTAGAAAGCGAATAATCCAGTTTATATGTTAGATAGAAATTTTGATTGATACAATATTGGTATTATATGGATTTGTTAGGTTGCAAAACTCTTTAGACATGCACTATTTGAGGCATCAAAGCTGAAGGTGGCCTTCTTAGGAGTGGAGGAAGACTCCTCACTGCCAAGCTCACCCTTGACATCTCCCAAACCATCAACAGAGCTCAGGTCTATATCTAAGGTTAATTTGTTAAAAGGAAAGGAACTAGTTTCCTCTTTATTGGTGTTTTGGCTGTGGATTGTGTTGTGAACTGAAACGTTTTTGTCTTTTTGCTTGTTTTTGGTAGTCACAGAGTTCATATAACAGGTTCCAAAAGTGAAGAAGGTGAAGGGTCATATAAGTATTTTCTTGACATCGATTCTCTCTTGATTTCATGGAATAACAGCTAGAGAGAAAGATGCCAGAGGACCAAGAATATATAGGAGCGAAAGCATACCTTAGTTTTGACATTGATTCTTTCTAGGTTTTCCTTAGAGAGAGAAGCACTTGAACCACAGAGGTCCAAGTACTAGGGTTTTCCTTCTGGATATCTTAGAGAGAATGATTCATGAATGTTAGGATTTCGTTGTGGGTGGAAGACAGGAAGCAAGAGAGAGATCTGAGGAACTTCGAATGAATTCTTGAAACGATTAGGGCTTTCTTTTAGTTTATTTGGGAATTTTGCTTTTAGGTAATGTTATAACATTAGCAGGTTTCTGATTAATTAAATTTTTGTATAAGATATTTTAGTAATTTAATTAAGATTTTGATTAATTAAGTTCTTGTTAGATATTTAATTAACATCTAAAATATATATGTGCATGCATGCATGAGTGATATAATATTTGGTTACTTGGGTCCAGGTTTTTGAACCTGAACCTGTAGCTGACCCGCCGGGTCCAATGCTTGGACCCATACCTAGACCCGGTAAGGATCGACCCACTGGGTCAGCAGTTCGATCGGACCCGATTGCCAGTCCTACTTAAAAATAAATTCCCTCAAATAAGGTATGTTCCAAAATATCGGCCCTTCAAATAAAATACAAAAGTATTTATTTGTTCTTATATTGTTAATAATAATAAAGGATAATATTTCTTTCAAATCTTATACAAATCATTTCCATTTTCTTCACATATCCCCCTTGATCTCAATTTGGAGTATAAAAAGAAAATTAACTCGTGAAATTGGGTATGCAAATAAATATAGTAATATAGAGAAGCAGGAGAGAGATCGTTCTCTCTCTAGTACACATTTTTTAGATAGATGACAGGTCAATATCGGATAACCATATGTGACAAAGTTGGACCCACCATTCCCTACATTAAATGCAATTTTGAGAGCATTGAATTTAAAACTCTAATTTTGATTGATGCGTACTTAAGTATCTCTTTCCTTCTGAAAAATTTACAGAAATGGATTTGAATAGTCATTTATTTCTTATATATTGACATTTGCTTTTTGTTTTTAATATACACATCTTTAGTTTCTTTTTTTATTGCTTTTCTTTTAAAAATATAAAGAATATATGTATGTTAACTTGTTGGCTGGCACCTATTGGATTGGCATCAAACTCCCCCCATCATGGGATTGTGGCCCGACCACAGTGCCACTGTAAGAGCAGGGTCTTGCGTTTCTGGAGCGGGATCCCCTCCCATGTAAGGATGTCCTAGTAACCAAGGTTCACAATGAAGTAACTATTGTTAATTGAGTAGAAAAACTGGCTTGTGAGTTCCTCAGTTTATCTTTGGGAAACATTTTCTGGAGAGTAAGAGGCCTCCAATGTTAGATAAAAAGAAAAACACAGGAAAAAGGAAGACTTTAAGGAAGACCTGTTATGGAAACTTAAAACACATGGATTTTGAGTTTGCTGGATGATTTGCTGTCCATGCAATGGTAAGTGGGGCAAATCACAAGAATGTGGTTAGTTCTGATCACTGTCCAGTTCTTATATGTAAATAGTTTGTGTAACAGGTGTAGTAGGTGCATGTATTAGAGTTATTGATTTGCTTCATGTAAAGCTTTAAGTACTATATGGAAGGGTTGTTTATTGGCATCTTTTCTATTCAGTTGGAGGCATGAATAGGTGGTTAACCGTATCCATGATAAATATTATTGGATATTCTGTGTTTAGCTGCAATCTCCAATTTAATAATGGAAGGACTTGCATATGACATTTAAGTTCATACTCATTCAAAGATGTAGTTACTGATATTATATATTTTGAAAGCGTTTTTCATGCCAATATTAGGTACCCATTGCCAGGGACTAGTAGGAAATGTTCCCCAAATGTGCCATATCTCCCAAACTGTATCCTCTGCGCATATTTTTTAGTGAAGTTCATTGTGCAAAAACAGAAATTGGTTTTCTTAAAATTGTCACTGGGGACATCTTATTTGCTGGTTGAATTGAATCCTTATGTGGAGTGGTGTATTTGGACAACAATACTGGTGATTCCTGCCTGTAGCCTTGGAATAATATTTAAAGGCATTTGCTTATTGGTGGAATGTGCATATATAGTGATGTAACCTTGTTTGACGTAACTTCTTTGTTTATCTGTTTTAGGTACTTGTTATATGATGTACTTATGGCTTCCCATTATGGGTCATATGTAAATGGTGAACTGATTCTTTTTTGTTTTTTTCAATTGACTTCTGCAGCTTCCTAGTTGAAGAGTGGAACTACTTGAAGCAACGTGATACTCCTCCTGATATTCCTATCATTGATAAAATATGGAAACAGCTTCCTGGTAACATTCAGCAGCGAAGAATTGAGGTAACATTGTTTACAATGTTGCCATGTTTAATTTGAATATATAAATCTATAGTAAAAGCAAAATTGGTGTTTATAGGCACCCTTTGGGCTCCCATTTGATGGTTCAAATCTTCAGTTTTTACAAATATCAGCTATCTGATAGAACAACGTGTAAATGATGTACAATCTTTATTTTGTTTAAAACTGTGCTTCAAAGAGAATTTCCAATCAGAATTTCAAGTTATCAATGCCCTTTCCTACTCACAGTTAGGTAATTCTTTCTGAAAAGGGAACTTTTTAAGTATCCGATCATCTTATTTTCCCGACACAATTGCATCATGTTCCGGTCATTGTGCATCTGAGGTTATAAAACAAACAAAATAACTAACTTTCTAACTGATTCCTGTCAGGTTCCTCAACAAAAGAATGAATATGATTGTGGGCTTTTTGTCCTTTACTTCATTGAACGTTTCATTGAAGATGCACCTGAGAGGGTTAGGAAGAAAGATCTTGCCATGGTAATAATTTCTGTTACATATTATTGCTGGGAATGTTAATAAAGACTATTCAGTGACCTGACTATTTATTTGCTAGCAATGGTATTATCATAATAATAATTGTTTAAACATAAATCATTCAGTTTGGTAGGAAGTGGTTCCGGCCGGAAGAAGCTTCAGATTTGAGACTCCGAATTCGAAAGTTGCTCTACGAAGAGTTTGAAGCGCAACACAGTGATGAGAAAGAGCTCTCACCTTCTCCTATGGATGATTCGGTTTAGAAACTTACAAGCAACAGTGTGCTGCTAATTTTGTATATGAAACTTCTTGTTTCCTTAATATGGGCGAAGGTTGCTTGCATCAAAACATCAGCTTTGAATCTTCAACAGGAAGGGATTCGATTTTTTTCTACAAAAATGTCCTCGGAAATATGTGAAGTAAAGTTTTTTGTTTGCTCTTCTGTTTGTTGTAGATGCTGGTTTGATATTGGATTATTGCTTAGGGGCTGACAATTACAAGAAGCCCCAAGTTCGATTCCTACTGCCTGAACTACCATGAAAGGGTGCTGTTTCAATACAATACCACGCTCTCATGGTTCCTCTTAAGTGGAGTTGTGCATGAGCTTTTGCTTTCTTGTTTTCGGGGCCATGGCATGTAAAGAGGAAAATACCCTAGTCCACCTTTTACGTACAGTGAATTGGGGACCATTTTCAGTGAAAGATGATGATCATTTAATGTTGTTTGGATGATTATTTAGTATGAACGAATTATGGAAAAATTATGCATGGGAATTGGCATGGGTAAGTTTGTTTACTCTTTAAGTGACAAGTCATTACTAGTGTGATAGTTTGTTCAATTCATCCGCTTTTTTCCGTCATCGACACATTTTTAAATTGTGTTTTGTGGGATTTCATGGTTGGAAGTAGTAAGTAAAAAATAAGGGGACTTATAGCCTCACTAAAGATGTGACTGTTAATAGAGTAGAATGACGGACCAAGTTCTGTATAGCTTACTGCAATTAGTTGGAAAATTTATCAATTACACAAAAGAATATATTCATATATACAATCATTATTGATAACTCAGTTGTGGGTGCCAATACTACCTACCTGGAGGTGCGGTTACTACAGGGCTTAGGCCTTATGAGAAAAGGTGAAAAGTGCATTTTAACACCCTGCCTGGAAAATGCATTTTGGGTATCAACTTTCTTATGATGGCATAGAAATCTATGGAAGGTTTCGAGAACCGGTGCAATTTGGAGGATTTGTGGAGGCATAAAAATGTACCATCTAAGATCTGTGTTACATGACTCACTATTTTCAAGGCTTGAAATCTAATTTAAATCCAAGAGGTGAAGATAACCAGATTGATTCATTTTCAAATGGCAATTTCCACAGGGTGGTGATTTTCAAGGCTTGAAATCTAATTTAAATCCAAGGGCTGCGAGTTTACTTTCATTGTGAAGTTTAAGCATCACTTTAAATTTATATTACATTTTTTCTGCAAAAATAATACGTCATATAGTATACATTGTGATTCTTTTGCTTGCGGTGGTCATAAACTAGTGGCCATTAGAAATCTCTGTTAGTATGTCTTCATTTATTTTCGCAAAAAAGATACTTTTCTGAATGCTACCATGTAATGGGCTTCATTATTGCAAAGGCGCAACAGTGACATGGTGGAGTATCTAGTCACAATGCAATATGTTCAAATCGCATGCTGGTCAGTGGTCAAAGTTAGAGGTTCCATTTTCATGTCCCATGCATGCCGGTGGTCAAAGTTAAGGCCACCTTGGCTTTCGAACAAGGAACAATAATCTTTTTAGGAAAAATTCTTGTTCCCGGTTCTTAATCCTCATTAAGGAGTACAATTATCAAGACTGGACCAAACCGGTGGTAAGACTAATAAAACTGCCAACTAATACCTTGACTGGTTTGATCCTAGGTAAAAATCGGTCAAACTATTATTTGAGCAGTTTTAGCCTGTCGGACAAGTTGGTTTTAACCGGTTTAACCAACTAAATACAGTTGAAAGTTTTTTAGATATATTTTTTAAGAAAATATGTATTGGTGTTACACCTCATGTGAATGATGTTGTTGTCCACCAAAATTAATAAGTACTTCTCTTTCTCTCAAGAATTTATATTGTACTCCTGATTAATTACTAAATATACCCCTAGACAAAAGAAGTTACTAGATGATGGGATAGAGGCATCGTGTCCAAAAATATTGAGTACCTTTAAAAAATGCTCATATGTATAAATATCATGACTGTTATTATATATATATATCCGGTTCGCCAATGATTAAACCAGTCTTGACTCGACCAATCTCTTCATGGGTTTGTTGGCCAGTCCACTTCGGAGAAAGAGTTTCATCATCTGCTCAAGTGGGCCAAAAAGTATGCAAGTTATCTTTATCACTTACTCAGCTGGCCCAAACCAATTGACGCGACTGCTGCCAAATTCAGGACTGGGAACAAGGCAGAGAAAGTTAAGATCACCTCCACTTTCAAAAAAAACAACAAAAAGGTATAGGCCCACTTGGCTTGGGAACAAGTGACATTCTTTTCATTGGAAAGTCTTGTTTCTGGTTCTTACCCTCATGGAGGAGTAGTTTCATCATCTGGTCAACTCAAGTGACCGCAATGAGTCTACATCTCTAATTTTGATTTTTTGCCAATTTCACACAGCTTAAGCATCTTGAGTCAAATAATGTGACAACTACCAAATTCAGGGTTAGGAATAAGGAACCAATTTTTCTTCTTGAAAAAATCATGATCTAAGTTTCATATTCTAATCCTCAACAAGGATTTGGGAGTTTCAACATTTGACTCAAGTGTCCAAATCAAATGAGGACTCTACAAGGGTAAGTTTATCATTTGACTTCAGTGACCTAAAACACCTGATGCCACTACTTCGCTCAAGGTGAGGAATAAAAAATGCATGTTCTCATTGAAAATACTCCTCTTAGGAGTTCCTAAATGTCGAAAAGCAAAATTATTCATGGCCATGGGCCAAATGAATCAGAATGTTATTATCATGTTGCAGGCCACAAACCTGAACATGGGTAGTTTGAGAACTTCTAACTAAATTATTCCATAGCTTTACCACTTGTAAATTGGTTGGTTATAATTATTTCATTTGGGTGTTTTAACCATTTTCATGATAATTTATATAAGGTTACAACCTTATTTGTAGATAAAAATAAAGTTGTAGTAATCTACACATTCTATTTTATATAAACAATGCATATTAAACACTATCTTAAAAAACATCATACATTGATAATTTTAAAAGACGTATCAAATCTACATCAACCAAATAAAATAGACACTGTAAAATATCAAAACCGTAATTTTACAAATTGGGTTGCTTTTTAGTTAACATCACTAATTAATTTTCATCAATTTTTGTGGCTTGACAAATAGTGCAACACATGTGCAACTATCCAACTAAAAGACTGAACTTCTCTTTACTGGCAACATTGGTTAAGAAATGTTCCCCAAGGTTAGTTCACAATTTCCTCAGGACGGAGATCAGTCTGATATGCACTTTCAATTTTAAGCATTACAACACAATTCCAATATACAACTATGTAAAGAGAAGTAATTCATCTAATTCCCCATCAAAAAGCAGTCCAATAACATAGAATTTATTTGAAAAAGAGTAGAATAATGAAATGTTAGTAAAAGCTTATATCTTACAACACTAACCCAGCCATTACAACTCACCAGTCAGGACAAGGAAAAGCCTTTTACATTCTATAATAGACAGACTTAACACTATTATAGATCACCAATATGAGAATATTCACACAGCTTCTCCTTCCAAGCCAAGCAGCTTCTCCTTCCAAGCCAAGCAGCTTCTCACATCTTCAAATCCATGATCATTTCTTCAAGCTGCTGATAATAATAGTGACTTGTTTTTTAACTGAAGAACCTTCAAAGTTGAGAAAAACGTAGTAACCAAAGGATTTGCCCCGGAAGAGATTCAAGGTCCTCTATATTTGCGAAAACAGAGACAACCCTTTTGTTGATCGAGAGGGATCATGCCGCCCCCCTTGGAGGTGTCGATGGCCTCCAACATTGAAACCACCTCATCCATCTCGGGCCTTTTGTCGGGATTTGCATCCCAACACTTCTTCATCACATTGGCCAAAGAGCTTGGACAACACCTTGGTATCTCAGGCCTCAAATTCTAAAATATTTTCCCTCTGTTAGTATATTCACTTTAGAGGCGATCTCTTCCCAACCCAATCCCCGCGACCCCCACCCCCACCCCCTCCCCCTCCCCTCCCAAAAAAAACACACGCACACACATGCCCTCCTTCCCAAAAAAAACACACACGCACACACATGCCCACACACAGACACAAACAAGCATACTTACCATACAGTGAAGTACGTTAAAACCTTCACTGATTTTTTTATTTGGATTGCTCATTTTTTTGTAGTTAATATTTCTAGATGGAGGTATTTTGGTCATTTACAAAGCATAAGTTTATAAATAAGACAAAGGATGGAAATTTGCATCACACTAACACACTTTTAATGCTCCAGCAAAACACAAATAACAAGAACAACACTTTGGTAACAAGTAAATGACAAAAGTACCACCAAATTCCAAATAACTTGAAATTTTAGGCATGTGTTCTTCTCATCAATACGCACCTAATAAAAATATCAAAAAATTAATTCGCAAAAAACAAGTTGACCAAAATACCTCCGAAACTTTTCAAGAGTATTTTGGTCAATTTATTTCATGTAAATTATTTTACAGGTAAAAATACGCCCAACGGCTCAGATTCAATCTGGGCCGAATTGACGGTCACGATTCTCCTTTTTTTTTATATATTTTTATCAAAC